CAGATCTACAGTGGGAATTTAATTTGCTTACTTGAGAAATATTGAAAAATATGGCATGCATCTTTATATTTTTCCCTTAATGTTGTCCACTACAGAGAATGAGAAGGTAAGAACTGAAGTACACTAACAAGTCTGTTGGCAAGCCCCTTAATACAGGAGTTGTCTTTATCTCCCCCTCCAGATCCACCCACACAACTACTTCTTTGTCAGTATCTCACACTGCTATCATTATCATGTTTGATTTCTTCCTCAAATAGTGATATTATTTAGAAAAAAAAATAACCACCACTGAGATTTTCTGGGTCAAAATTCAAAACACAGGGAAAAAAAGCTTATGTCTTAGTCTACTGGAGTATGCAATTAAATTTAAAGTTCACTAAAAACAATTTAAAATGAAGAAATAATGGAAACTAACTGTCAATTAAAAAAAAAACAACAAAACAACAAACACCTCAAAGTTTTTGTCAATTGAATAATTGTATGAATACACTCATACAAATCTAAAAATAGCACAGAAAGCATAAGAACAACAGGTTACCTCATTGCAAAATCTAGCGCCCTCCTCCCTTCAACAGGACTCCAGGCTAAGGTTCTCCCTATGCCATGTTCATTAAGCTTTTAAACAAGCTTAAGAAAGTGCTTCCAAGAAGGAAGGAACGTTTCCCTGTATTTAAGAGAATAGTGGTGCAATCTGAACTGCAGAATTCAGGAAAGAACATGCAACAGACAGAAAAAAGTGTGCTTTCATAAAATGAACAGCTCTTTATGAAACTTCCCCCCCCCTCCATTAGAATACAATAAATATTTTAATTAGGAAGGCATAACATTTGTATTAACTTGGGAGCAAAGGGGACAAAATAAACAGGTTGGCAACCACAGCTGTGTGAATTACACAATAAGAGGCTATTAAAAATCAGTGGGAAAAGGGATATATTTTCCACAGATTGCTTTTATCCTCAAAAATCATTTAATAGGCTGGGTGCATAGCTTTTCTTCCTAATTAATTCATCCAGAAATCTCCCTTCCTTTGACTTTAGTCCAGGTGCAGAATTGAGAAAGAACAGGAGATGAGCTTTCAGTTTTTCCAGGGTGTGATTCTATTATCCCTAGTATGCTCATAGCATTTAATTTCTAATTCCTAACAGTAAATACTAGTTTGTATTTTTACAAAGGCTAAACATTTTTAAACAGTCCTACAGCTCCTGACATTTCATGTATCTGTTGCTGAAAGGTAGGTTTTTATTTTGTGTTGTTTTCTCCACCTCTACAGATCTGAAGTTGAAATACATTTCTCCTGTAAACTGCAGTCTACTCACAATCATAAACAAATTATACTCTCTGTGTCAACATTTCAAACCAAGACACTAAATCATAGCATGCTGGGATGGAATTGCTGTCCCTATCATCTACCACTTACTGCTATCAAAGCATATAACTGGATTAGTGGGAAAACAGCTGTATTATTCATAGATTTAAGCTCTTTCAAACAGCAGGTTTTCTTTATGCAACAAAGCACAGCACTTCAGATAAGAAAAATGCAAATCCCAGAGGAAATAATGACATATTAACCTCTGGCAGTCTTTACATGACTTAATAGTTCATTCAACCTCTTTTGACTGGGAATAAATGCAAAAACTATATTAAATCAGTAGGACTAATGTATTTTAACACAACTGCTTTTAAGATTTTTGTTCCATAGGATTTCTCCATATACCAGGCACTGTTGATTAAATCATCCTGTCACTTTCTAAAAGTGATCAGCATGAGCCTAAACCCATGTCTCTCAGTTGTAAGCATGAATCATCATGCATATGGGTTTTGTGGGACAACATCTTGGCAGAGGTTAGCAGTAAAACAGCTCTCTAGTTAACTCAAAATCTCATTACGAAACACTCCATAGTTATTAAAGCTAACAATCCATAAAACAATTGTGGCTTTCTTGGCCAAAAGATCCAGGAGGGAAAGAAAAATGTAGATAACTTCCATTTATTACTAGAATTCATACATCCATCCGTTAATATTGTATTAACTGCAAAGTAACACCTAGCATTTTGGACTTTTTAATTAGACAATTATGTCTAAGGATGCTTCAAGAGAAAAGGTTGTTAGGCAGTAACATGAAACATATAGAATAAATTTACATTTCTTTCAACCAGAACAAAATGTTTTAGTTGATCTTTTGGGGTTTAGATTTATGAAGAAAGAACTGGAATTAGACTTGATCTAAACAAGCCTTCTTTGTTATGGAATAACCTGTGAAGAGTAACGATGATCTTCTGTGTATCACGGTATCATAGAAAGTTTTGGGTTGGAAGTGACCTTGAAAGATCATCTAGTTCAACCTCCCTGCAATGAGCATGGACATCTTCAGCTAGACCAGGTTGCCCAGAGTTCTGTTCAACCTCACCTTGAATGTTTCCAAGGATGGAGCAACTACCACCTCTCGGGCAACCTGTGCTCATGTTTCATCACCCCCACTGAAAAAAACCCAACAAACACACTCCTCTATATCTATTTTTAATCTACCCTCTTTTTGTTTAAAAACAATACCTCTTGTCCTATCACTGCAGACCCTGCTAAGCAGTGTGTCCATGTCTTTCTTATAGGCCCCCGCTAAGTACTGGAATGTTGCTATAAGGTGTCCCCAGCCTTTCTTCATAAGAGAGGAATACTGCCAATCCTGAGTCAAACTGTTTCACAGTCTGTGCATGTGCTTTTGTGAATAATGCCTAAGAACAAATAATAATGAGTGTGGCAATAGATCAACTCCTTACATGGAGTCATGACTGTTGCTTAATTTGGTTTGAGGCTTTGGCTGGACTGTGGAAAACAAGAGCAAACTCAAAAAAAAAAAAAAAAAAAAAAAAAAAAAGGAAAATTCCTTTAAAAAAAGACCAAACTTAAATGTTCACTGCTCTAGTTTAAAGAATCCCCTGTAGTAGTAAAACTATTTTTTTTCCTGTCTATGGAATATCAATATCACCCATAGTTCCAATCACCTAAACACACAAAGATACAGGTTTTATAAAAGTAACTGCAATACTGAAAGGATCTAATACAGTAATTTAAATCATAAATGCACAACACCAAGTAGCATTTTATAAAAGATTTAGAGATGCCATGTTTTATTATGTGTACTTCTGTGACTGCTGCCTTCTGAGGATGAATGCAGCACAACCAAAACTCCTCTTTGGCTATGCAGTCAAATAGCTGATGCATGCCTCATTCAAAGAAGGAAGGACCTTAAGTATTTCAAGTTACAAACCACTGGGAAAATGTAGTGTAGAAAATATTCGAAGATTTCTTGTCCCTTTTTTTTAACACAAATCACAACCTTTGGCCCTTGCTAGAATAACACTTAATATTAGCTAATAAAATACCCTGACTCTAAGGAAGGCTTAGCATTAAGACATATTGCTTCTGGTCAGCTGGGAGTAAATGAAAGGAAGAGTTTGGAAAGCTGCATAAATCAGGAGGTAGTTGGAGGTCCAGATCTTTCAAAAACTGGCACAGCTCCACTCAACATAGTAATCAATTTCCAGCAGTTTAGGATAAGAAACTATTTTGTTAAACCTAACAAGAAGATTTCAGCTTTCTGATGTCATTACAGAATAGCTTATTTCCTTTAACAGCAATAATTTAGAAATTAGTTTAATTTTTTGTTTTCACTGCAGTGTAGACTAAATAAAACAGTCAAATTCACTATTAAAAACTTTAACCAAGGAAATGCTATTGCAAATAAAAGCTTCTCTCTACCACTTGGCTAAAAGTCTAACTAGACTGACAGCAAATGATAAAGCAATAAGTGGTGTTCAAAAAGATTTCTGATAATGATATTTCAGCTCTTTCTCCCTGCAGGCTGGCTACAACACATCTGTAGAACCTTAAAATTGCCTTCAAAATAATTCCAGAGTTACTCATCTTGCAGGCTGTCTCTTGTCATTAAGAGTATGTTAATGTTCCCATTGTACATCTTTAGTATCAAAGCTCTACAGTTCAACAGCTTAATAAAAACCAAAAAAAGCCTTGCCCAAGGCTAGAGTATGACATCCAAAGTATCAGTCTGAAAACTGAAAGTTGTCCATACCATCTTCCCCTTCTGCAAATCTATTTTTGTTTTGCCTTTAGCTTTCTTGAAAACCAGAGATTTGTACTTTAATTTTGAGGCAAGTATTAGAAAGACCAAATTGACATTGAAAAGAACCCCAAGACCTATTTTAAAGAACTATTTAAAAACTCTATTATAATAAAACAGAATTTCTAAGGCTAGTAGCTAAGTGCGAAGTGTAGTAATTGCATGTAGTACTAAAGTTTTCAATCATGTTCTAAAAGATGTCAGTCCTGAAAAAGTCAGCATGTCCTTTTGGCAGTCTTTATAATCCTACCCTCATAGCAGCCCTCTCGACCTGCACACCACATATGCTGTCTCTGTATGCATACATTATGTGCCTTTTTAAGCTCCTGCATGTATTCTCCCCTCTTTTGCTTTGCTACCCATCACCTTGCTAACTGTAGAACTTCTCAGGAGCAGCTCTTTGGCAGGTCAGATGTGTGGCTTTCATTATCATGCATCAACTAACACAAGGAACCCAAATGCCTGCTGCTTGGAAGAAGGAACTTATTCCTACCTTCTCTGTATCATTTTATCTCACACCACAATATAAAACCTAGGAACTACTAATTATTTCAAGAGAATTTGCATATACCAATCAAATAGAAGTTTTGCAACACAGATAAGAATAATATATTGAAAATGAGAATTTGACTACAGATAAATTTGTTTACCTGACTTTTGTCCTTCTCTCAAATGTACAGATAGCAACAAACCTAGGACTTGCATTACACCTTACAAAAACCCCACTAAGCCAAATGTGGTATTTTCCACTATATTTTAAGTCTCTCAGCAGCTTAAAATTCAAGTATCTCATATCTGGCATTGAAAATAGTTTGCTTATGGCTTTGCTGACAATACAAACTTTGTGCTAAAAACAGATACTCACTGAGACTACATTCACAAAGTCATCATCAGACAAGGTCTCCAACATCTCAATGACCGAAGTGCGTATCAGCTTCAGTGTCAGCCCACTGACACTCCCGCTCCTAACAGAAATCAACAAGATAACAGAAAAATTGAGTTTAATAATTTTATTTAAAACATAGAAAGAAAATACAAAGCACCAACCAGCACTGTCACTGACTTTCACACTAAAATTGTTCATAATTTTTCGGAATGCTCCAACTAATAATTTGTGTTATCACATTATTGTAACAAAAAAAACTAAATCAAAACCTGGTATTGAAAGCCCCAGTTCTGTGGCTCAGATTAACTTATATTGGTACATTATTTCCTCATTTTTATTCCAAGAAATCTGAGAGTTTGGCATCTTCAACCAATGCATTATCTAAGCATTTTATACTGCTACACACAGAATTACAGCTTTAGATTTTCATATATATAAAAAAGACAGCTTGTTTTATTCAAGGCAAAACATAAGCTGAAGTGAAGAAATTACAAATGTTGATAAAACTCACCACTGATATGAAAGCACTTAACCTCATTTTAAAATATTAATTGCAAATTCTCTTACTGAGAAATTTTTCAGCATAAAGTAATCTGTTTGACACATCAGATACAATGTTTGCTTCAATCCCTCAACAGTAACTAAACAAAGAATCCTTGCCAAGGCAAAGGGTTTTTATTAATTTCTTTAATGACTTTCAATAATTGTCTTACAGTAACCAAATTTGGCACTTTTAAAATATGTGCAGTAAAACATTCAGAGTCTGTACACATGATATCATGACTGAATCTACTGGAATGCTTCTAGCAATTTGGTTTAGGATTTGTGTTTTGCAACAAATCTTGGCATGCACATGAGAAATTTTCAGTTGATTACTTCAGTAATTAAGCTGAAATTAGAATGATATAAAAGTAATTAAAAAAAAATAAAAAAAAAATGGCCACAGCTTAAATAACTTTAAGTTTTGGTTTGGGCCTTTTTGAATTATTTTTTTACTGTGTATTTATTTTGCTTATACTAAAATTTTTAATCCTTGCATGTGAGGACTGTCTAACCTTCTCTCCACTTTTCAGCATACAGAGATTTGTTCAATATATTGAAGTACTTTTAGCCCTCTAATGTCAATATCATGACAACAAGCACTTACGCATCAACTAAAATTAGCATGTCTTTGGGAGATGCAGCTCCTTGGATATACCTGAAATAAATAAGGGGTATGAATTACATACATTTGAAAGCACATTTGTGGTGTGTGATGGAATATTCTGCAATCTATAAGCTAAATCTAGCTGAGCCAACACCATCCTGCTATTGCAGCTAGTAAACAATGCACTATCATTTTGTCTCTTGCTGCGTCTGCTAGATAAACTAGTCTAAACCACATTAGGGAAGTCTGGAGGTAGGACATACTAATTAAAATTCACTATTTTTACATGTTGATAACTGAAAAACATAAATGCTATTTCAGAGATAAAGATTTTGATGACACAAATTTTTGCATCATCCCATTTTAGCAAAAAAAATAATAATCCTTTGAAATAATATATTAAACTAGTATGAATCCAAGTATCATTATGGCATATGCATCATATATGCATTATGCCTTCAGAGGTTTAAAGAAAAAATAAACAACACCGTGAGAAATAATCCCATTGTTCTCTTGCCTTTTATCAATCTAGTGATTTTTTTTTCTTTTGCTGATCTAAACCATTGAGATATATTTTTAAACACTCTGAAGTCTTGAAGAATAGCTCAGTTTAACAATCTGAATTACCCTTGATTTTTGCACAAAATCAAAGTGTTAAATTGCCATTTACCTATTTGACAGTTATTCTCTTACTAAGAGGTCCATGTAATTCAACAGTATCATGCACTCTAGTGGGTATTGCATAACAAGTAGTATGCTTTGAAAATAGTTTATTCAGAAGAATTAACTGATTTATTTTTTTTAAGGAAACGGCAGTATCTAAAAGTAAGGACTATTAGACATAATTAATCAGATAAATTTGTCGTTACGATCATATCTAGAAAGCAAGTGACATATATAAATCAGTCCTTTAATGAAACCTTACCATGGTCTTCTGCGAACATCATACAGATCTATTTTGTTTGGTGTTCGACTTTTATCTACCCATGGGGAAGCTGAAAAGGAAAAAAAAACAAACATAATAGATTAAATTAAAACTTTCTCTTAATTATTTTAAATGCAACAGTATAATGAGTCAATATCACAGGCTTTGTATTATATAAATACAAATATTTGCTAGGGAGAAAAACTGTCTGTGTTTGCACAATCTGTTTTTGAAATACCTAGATACCCCCATATAGATGAACATACAACATATTGCAATGAAACGATACATAGATAAAAAGTTTAAAGGACCAAATAGTGCTGAAAAAAGTTACTGATTATAACTGACCACTGACTTGAATATAACCAGAATTTCAACCAAAGTGTTTTAGAATAAAAAATAACTTTTTTTTTACAAGAAAGTAGTTAATTGAAATAAAAAAAAAAACAACAAAACAACACAACAACAAAACACAGAACAACACAACAGTTCTAAGTCAATTAATGTTGTAAACAGTAATACTCTACTGATTTATAGCTCAGTTATGCATCTAAAACATTATATGCTGACCCAGGACAGCTTTACCTAAAAATAAAAATTAGAAGAGTAACATGAAAGTGTCATATTTTAATAAAACGAGATGGAAACATTCATATATCTGTGAAGAAAATGCTAAGATGAATAATCTTTAGTAAGCATTAACTAAGCTTTATGCTAATTTTCAGCAAGGCTAGGCATCCTTTCCTTGCTGAAAAACAAAATTAACCTTTCAAAGACAGTTGACAGCTTAATGAACACAAATAAAAATGTGAAAAGTTACATGAAATGAAATAATGTTCTGCAATTTGCCCTCTCACTGTATGCCAACACCACTGGATGAGCTATTTCCTTATGTTGGTTGCTTTTTGCTCTAGGAAATAAAAAAAAATATATATATAGGCAGCTCCAGGATTCTTCCTCAAAAAGCATTTATATAAGACAAATGGGAAGAATTATTACATCCCTATCCATGAATATAAAAGAAGCCACCATCCCAGAGCAGCTGCCTGGTTTTGATTTTACTAAATGAACTCTTTCCTAAGAGACCATAACCCGAATCAGCACACCAGTTACCAGAACATATAAATTGACCATAACCCACAGGATATTTATCAATATATATTTATCAGCCACAGAAAGCACCATATATTGTTGTATTGTTGCACACCTTGAAGAACCTCAAACTCTACACTAGTATTGTCTATTATCTCACACTAGACCACCTGACAGGTTCTTTGTGGTGTGAGGTGATAAAGGTCTTTGAAATTCCCAGAAATGAGAGAGCAGATTTTTTTAGATTTTTATATGGTACATGAGAGATCTCTACTTTAAGTATAATTGTGTAGGTATGCACAGGTTAAATTCAGTAGCATTTTATGAGCCTGAAGCCATGGTTAGCACGTGTTTGATCATGGAGTGTTTGTGCCCTTCCAGACGAACCTATGCATTCGAATCCCATCCTTGAAAAAAATTCCCCAAGACTTGAAAAAATCTGCATCCCATGTACTAATTTCAGTTTGTATTATGAGTGGTTTAGGTAAAATAGCACTGCTATATATTTCCCCAAACTTTCGGTATTTCCAGTGACATTCAATGTGAAGCTATGCCTTATGAAATCTGTCCCTCTTAATCAACCAGTATCTTGGACCATCTTCATAAACAGAGAATTATCTAATGTATGCATCTAGCTTTATTTTAAAACAACAGATAAAATATAATTTGCACTGCTAGTGTAACAATACATTTCAGCAGTTTCTGAATGAAAACCTTTTTTTCTTATTTTTTATATAAAAGATACGTCCAAAGCCTTAACTGCATTCTCCAAAGCAAATGGATGGTGTTTCAAGGGGAATTTGAACACAGGACCTGAAAAAGAGTGGTTTTAGTATAATCATATTCTTCAGTAACAGTGGATACTGACATAGGTATTCATTTAAAAATTGAATCAATTTTCTAAAGGCTTGCTAAATAACAGACTAGCTCCACAGCTAACAAAAATTATCTACTGAAAATCATCACATGAACATTTAGGTACAATTTATCTGATATTGTATCCTTCAAGAAGATGATAGTGTAATTTCATATTCTATTTTGAACTATAATCTAACTTTTTAAAGTTCTGAACTAAATTTTACAGAAATAGGGGTTAGGATTAAATTTTGTCTGTGCAACGGAAGTTAATAGAAGAAATAATTCAGCTACATTTTTCTGCAAGACTTCAGAGCTACAAATATATGTTAATGTAATGCTACCTGACAGGTAAGCACATAACTTCCTTGAGTTCAACATCAGTTGCCTAGACAGAACGTACTTCAGAATTGGGCCCTTTAGACCAAATGTAGTGAGGCAAATCTTTCAGAAAAATTAACAGAACATCAAATAATAAAATTTGAAAAGCCTGAAACTTTCCCCAATATTTCCAAAAGCACAAAATTGCTACACATAACAGAAGCTGTTTTGTGGGTTTTTTTTAACTGGAATACAAACCAGAACACTTATTATTGTCTTTTCTCCCCCTCTCTGTATGGAGAGAATGCTCAAAACTTCTGGTTGAGACAGAGTAAACCAAAGGATCTGAAGACAATCTTCTTAAATCACTCTTCAGAGGAGGTCCTTCTGCTAAGACTTGAGCAACTGAGCCATGCACTCAGTTCTACTATAGTCTTAAAGCAATTTCCTGGATTGCAAGAGATCAGACTGTCCCTTTCTAACTATATCTGTATCAGTGAGCTAAAAAGCACAACAAGCACCAGAACTAGATGACAAACTATTACAATGGTCCAGTTAAACACCAAAGAAACGTGAATAAAGCACTCAGCACACTACTTACAGCCTATCTAATCTTTTTGGAGGTTACTGTGAATGGTAACACTGTTTTTTTCATTTTGGAAGTTAGACTGAGTGGAAAACAGAAGAGCTAAACTTCTTCTCTTTCACTAACTTGGCCCTTTCAGTATTCACTATCCTGGAAAGACTGTCAGCAGGTTCACAGACATCTGGAGAAGGTCTTTAAAAACTGTATTAATTACCATGTTGTTTAATCTGTATTTTCTGTGCTACATGTCAAAAAAAGTTTATTTTTCTTAATTAATATATTACCTTCTGTTGAAACAAATGCAACAAGCACATACATGTTACATGTGATGCATTTTTCTGAATTTATGATGTGACTGCAAATTTTTTCATCAGATAATTATGGGAGCCAAAGGATACAAATAGTAGTTAAGAAATATAATGTTTAGTGGGAAAACTACTTCTATTGATATTTATGATGTTTTCTACAACAGTTTACATAACCTGGTGGTAAGCCTCTGCATGGCTAACCATAAGTAAGGACTCAGCCTTCAGTATCTAGAATTTAATTCACACCAAAGAAGGGCTGAATTCTCTCTTCAACACTGAGAATTAACATGACTAAATTACCCATTCATCCTAAGCTCTCTCTGGATTAACACTTTTGATTTTAGAGGGCCTTGAATGGTCTAAATCTATTCACTGGGTTTGGCAATGTTCTGAGTATTTAAGGATCTTATTGAAGTTGCTATTACTAGGAAACCGAAATTCTCTTAGGATATTTGATCTCCAGTGATCCAATTTTAATTTACCCTGATTTAATCTTTTTTAAAAATCACTTTAAAAATAATTTTTGCATATCCTGTATGTAAAAATAAATAATTATACATTTATAATTGTCCAGGAAATAATGAGAAGATGGAGACGACTTAAAAAGATGTGTTGCCTTTGTCCATATACAGAGAATGCTACAAAGCCATTTGGGGAAACTGCTTTCCATCTTACTGACAAAAGTCATTATATGGTCTAAGATGAAAGCAAAACAAAATACAGAAAAAAATTATTACACATTTTCCTAAAAAAACCCCCACAAAACCTAAAAAGGATTTTCAGATTTACAGCTCTCTTTGTACAACCTACTGTTTAAAACATGTATTTTAATCAGATGCCTTGGAACCTGGTTCACCAAACATCTTGAAGACACCAGCGTGACTGCGTTTCATTGTTGCACACTAATATCTTGAACTATATCAATACTACAGATTTCTCTGTTGCATACATTAAGCTTCAGTCATGTTCTCCTTTGGTGATTTTGGCATATGGTTAGTTTTGGTATTTTATGAATTATTCATTTGATTTGATATACCTCCAACTTCTGCTGTTTGCATTATGGAGATACAGGCCTGGCTATATTTCAAGCAAGAGTAAGGTGTATTCTTCTGTTATTTCTGCACAAGTAGGGTGGAAATCCTTTTTTGTTGATTACATGCAAAATCAATTCATGCATTACAGAGGTGGTCACACACTACAGCCTAAATGAAAGTATTATTAAGGAAAGGGAAACCCTGGCTACCTCTGCCCATTTTTAAATTAATGTATTTAATTTCATTCATTAAATTATTCCAGAGACAAAGGGGAGTGTCATGAGGGAGGCCTTCCTGTAAGACATGTTGAATAAGATCTCACATCTGTCCTACTCTACTGCTTGGGTATGCATGTGCATTGAACAGAGAAGCACAGATTAATAATTAACAGCTTTACATCCCTGTAACACATTTGGGGAAAGAGACTAAAGGCTGATAGCAAGACAGGTAACAAATGCCAATTATCAAGTCCCAGACAGCATCATCTTATTCTGACACAAACTTCTTACTTTTCCATTTCAAAGGCTTACTAGGTGGTCAGCTTCAATATAGTATTTATGGGGCTAGACATTAAAGTTGGTTTTTACCTTGTTATGTCTCAGATAAACATTCATGTGGATATTCAAAAGATCCATTAACACAGACTATTCAGTTCCCTCTGCCAGATTCAGTAGAGTCTTCCTCAGATGGAACAAAGATGCAAGTTACAGTTTATACTTTGTATTTAGTTTAATTTTGTATTTCTTCTCATCTTTTAGTGAACTTACACAAAAAACCTCCCAACTTCATTGAGGTTTGTGATAGCCTTTGCTAGTTGGGAAATGAGGTGTACCTCAGTTTACTGCTCAGAAAGAAGTCACAGAATCATAGAATG